TATGCTAAAAGTTGCCCCTTCATAATGCATCACATGCCATTTGTAACATTGAGAAAATAGATGTATCCTCATAATGCCCTGAAAGGTAACATATGGAGCAACAATTTTTGTTAATCCGACCAAACCTTCAAAATGTCTAGAAATGAAATTGTTAGATTAATTGCTCGTCAAAATAGTTAAGCTTGCGATGTGGTATGTTAATTGTTCTCCACTCCTTTGTAGCCAAGTCACAATTTGTCACCCTCCATGAACTATAGCACCTTGCCTTGGTAGCCATTTTAGGAACCACATTTTAATTTAAAAAAAATTATTGTCAAGCTATTAGTTAGTCAATTCTTCGATGATCTTTAATAATTGTAAACCAGTGCAAAAGAAAATCACCTGTATATTGTAATTATCTCTTATTTTAAAAAATTAAATTAAAAATAATAATCATATAAAATTAGGTATCATTATTCATTAATGTAGTAAGGGGAATATGATGGAAAAACTTTCTCATAACGAGTGGACAAGTTCCACATTTGGATGGGCCCGGGCCCCACAAGTGTTGAGCACAGTGAGACACGCACGGACCATGCACGTGCAAGGACAGCTTGCTTGTTTGTCTCTATCAGTATCTTCAATTATTGAACCAAAATTAAAAAGGTAATTATCATCAATTAGAAGTACTTGATGGTTTAATAATAAAGAAATGGTATTATCCTTCGAAAAGGGAATGGACCCAAATCCACGGGTGGGTCATTATTGGCTCAAATCCGAAACCTAATCATTGGTGCAAAAGTGGACAACATCCTAAGCCTTTTGGTGCCTCTCATCATTTTTTCGCTTTTCATGCAAACAGTTCTTCACCCCAAAAATAAATTACCATGCATTAGAACCCTTGTTTGCACACATGCAAGCTGAGTTTAACCAAGGCCATTTGCTAGTCATATATTAGTTTAAGAAATGAAATAAAAATGTTAAATAAAAGATAAAGTAATAATTACATTGTAATCGCATACATATTTAATATATTTGTAAATAATTAAAAAAATAGCCAAACATTTAATAAGGGATGCCAAACATTCTTTAACTGGTAATTTACATTTGCTAACAAAATATTTTATTCATTTTACTTTATCTTAAGTTTAAATGACTTTTGGGAGAAAAAAAAAATTAAAAGCCATGTTAAAGAATCTTTGGAGACTTGAAGGTCCAGATAAAGAAATTCAGGAGTAAGAAACAATTTATATTTTCTATTAATATATATATATATATTTCTTAGGTAAAGTGGTAAAAAGAATATGGATGATTTAATAAATAAAAAATTATTTCTCATAAATTATGCAATATGCAGTTGCAATGAAAGAAAATTAAATGAAATAGAATAAATAGTCATTTAATTCTTTGATATTTTTTTATTACATTATTATAAAATGTTTTTTATTGTCTGAAAAACAGATAAAGTAGTACAAAACACATTCTTTCAATAAGTTTATTTTATTACAAATAACTGAAATCGTATTTTTTCTCCCTGTGTTTCATTTTATTTTCATCTACTCAATGTTTTTCTTATCATACAGAACGTAAAAAATGCAAATGCAATGAACGATCGTGTTTGAAAAAGGATATCGTACCGAACTGATAAATTTATCAAAAAAATGAAATGCATTGATTGTAAGTGGAAATGATTAATAGCAATTTTTCGGTACTGAAAATAAATTTTAGCGTTTGAAAATGGACATCGTACCGAACGAATTTTTATAAAAAAAAAAGACGATTGATTGACTGTGGATTGCGACAAATCATAACAAATTCTACAACTACCTTTCTTCTTTTTCCAGAGAAACTACGACCAAAATATGAAGAACGCAATTGAGAAGCAACCCAACGTAGAGAATTATCGTCAGAGAAAGAATATATTACGGATAGTTTATAAAAATCATTTTTAATTATCTAAATTTGTTCTTATAATTTATTAAAATAAATTACTTTTCAAATTTATGCTACAAAGTTATATATATATATATATATATATATATATATATTTAAAAATTATATATTTAACTTTTAAAAATGTGAATAATTTGATTATTGAGGGTGATATGAATCATCGGATGAGATTTAATTAAAATTATTTAAAATTAACTAAAATATAATAGGTTGAGTTAAATCATTTTTTTTTTTATGATGATTCGAAGCAATTTAACTACAAACAATGGGTTCGACTTTATATTTAAAATAAAAAAATATTTATGATCTATATGATATAATAATTATTAAACTAAATTAACAAATTAAAATTTTTCTGTATACCCAATAATAAATCATCAACTAAGAATCATATTTAAAATATACATTCAAATATTCAATATAAATATTATGTATTTTTTAAAGTAAATTAAGAATAATAAATAAATATAGTTGAGAAACACTCAAATTAGGAGGCTGAAATTTAAAGGAAGTTTGTAATTCTTAAAGATTGAACTCTGTTCAATTTTATTTTATATCTTTTAACTTTGATAAAAAAATAATAATTAAAAAAGTGTGTTTAAGAAAGTTTTAAAGCTAGCTAAAAGTTTATTTTACTAGTTAAAAAGTTTGTTTATTAAAAATATTTATAAATTGATAAAGTAGTTCAATAGACAACTTTCTTTAAAAAAGTACTCTAATAATATTTTGTAAAACAATAGTTTTTAATTATTATCTAAAAGCATTTTTTTATTTTTTATTTTTGAGTAAATTTTTTTTCTTATTCAATTTCTAACTATTTTTATTCCTCAACATGTGTCACATTCAAAATAATATAAGTAATTTAACGACCATCAAATCCTATTTTTTAGAATATAAAATTATAAAAATTATAATATAAAATTTATATTATCTTATTTTATTTAATAAAAATATTTAAAAATGAGTAAATTACAACCTTTTTATTTTTATTTTAAAGATAATAAATTAGTTTAAATAAACTAAAATATAAAAATGTGGTTATTTAAAAAATATATAATTTTCAAATTCCTATTTTAATTAATTTATTTATTATGTTTTTATTTATCATTTTATTATTAATTAGTTCAATAATTAATTTTATTAAATATTTTGAATTTTCTTAACTAATTTTTTTTTTAACTTTTAACTAGTTTATCCGTTAATTTTATCAAAGACGTCTTAAGTTTCATTAGAAAATTCAGTAAACCTAAATACATTAAAAATTCGTCTGTCAAATTAGTGGTTGATGAAGTTGACTTCAAATCTTTCATTGATTTTTTTTGTTTAAATGTTATATTCATTAATTTAAATGTAAATGTTTTAGATTTGAATTTTAATGTAAAAAATGGTATTTTAATCCATTTTAGTGATGTTAAGAACATATAATGTATTCGGATTACCCGTTTGACAGAAAGCTGACAAGCTAGATTGGATTTAAGTTCAGAAAATCAGTCTCAATGTATTTTTACTTTTTCGGTTTAGGTACAAATATTATTTTAGATTAGACTGTTATCAGACTTAGTTTTTTATTTTTTTTAATTTATAGATAGTATTTAAAGTGATATATGACAAAAATATGAGATTTTTAAAAAATACAAAAATATGTGAAATAAAAAAATATCATCTTGCATTCAAATCGATAAATGTTAAAAACCGACAATGCAATTTTTTTAAATTTCTTATATTTCTGTAATTTTTCTCAAAATCTTATATTTTTGGTATTTTATTTTATATTTTTTTCATATAAAAAAAGCCACAAACTTACGTTATATCTTAAGATAATTTAAAAAAAATATAAATTATACGAGTTTTTCATGTCATAAAAATTGATAATGTTGGGAAACATCTTTTGATTTTAGTTTATTACTTCTAAAATTTATTAATCAACTCAATGTATTGTTAAAAGATTTGTATGTTTTATAACTTTTATTGAAATCTGAAGTCAATTTAGTCCTAGTTTGAGCAAGTGTGGAACCATAACCAAGTCAAGATAAAGTCTAAAAAGATTAGTTTGAGTTTGATTAAAATATCAGACCAAGTTAAATTCAGCTCATACCCTAGTCGATCTAACATAAGATGTGAGGAACTTCATAATATTTAGATAAAACTGTACTCATGGTATCATTTCTATGAAACAATAAATTATACAAAATAAATAGTGCATTATAGGTCATTATATTTTATAAGTAAGAAAAGTAAATATAGGTAACAGTGATTACTATGAAATGGATTTTTTAAGGATGTTTTTGGAAGAAATTTTTCAGAAGAAAAAAAAAAGAAAAACATATATTTTTAATTTTAAATTAAAAAATTTTACATTATTTATAATAATAAATATATGATTAATATACTTTATCCTCTCTCACCTCAAAACTTCCTTCCTGAACAACTCAATATTCTAATAAATTAATTTTTTTTATGCAGTTCTTTTTAAATACTTAATAGATGCCGTAGCAAAAGTCAAACAAAATCATACTACTAATAAATCAAATATTTTTTACAATATTTCTTGAACATCTGGTTTGCAAAATAGAAAAGTAAAATGTTGATAATTAATGTTCCTTAATTAAGGTTAGTGGTTATCGTTATCAATTATCAATAGCACCTAAAAATCACACTCGTTAGAGGTCGCCAATACTATTCACACTTTATTTGGACCACTCTTTCTCATAATGAATTTTGAAAGAAGGACGACTCTTACACTCAATCAATAATCAAATCAGAATTGAAGTAGAACAACATGAAAAATGGTAAAATACCATCTATTAATAATAAATTAACAATAACTAGACAGATAAAAAAATGAGAGATATATAATAGGAGTATGCACCATTATTTAATATTGAATAGGGAGATCAAAATCAAACAGTGATTGCTTAGAGTCAACAATAGCACCAAAGCCGACACGTGGGTGTGCCGTCACTTAAAGGCTAACGGTGCGTTAAGTATCCGTTAGAGGGAGCATTGGCATGAGCGTGATACACAGCTTCTCCACCGTGTCTAAGCAAATGAAGACAAAATAAGACAACCAGCACATGATTATTTTATGGCTTATGATATATCATTTTTTAACAAGTATCTGAAATCTGGGTTAGATTTAAAAGTGCACTTTTTTAAGTGACATCCCCAACTCTAGTGTGAAAGAAAAACCAAAGTACCAAACTACTTGGAAGCCAAACTTAGGATCTGACTTGAAGCAACTTGGAAGCATTATTGGATTCTGCGGTGTCTTGTCCGTTGGGTTTCCTAACACGCTTCCTGGGTAATGTGTCATTTTTTGTGCCTAACACATTTGGTTTTATGTTTTCTCAAATGGGTTTCTGTGATTTTTAGGTAGACTATGTTGTTTACTAGTTTGGGTTTCTATCTGTGTCTTTCTCTGATTGTTTGTATATGAGGGTCTTTCAATAATTAAGGTGTCTTATTGGTTTTCTATTAGGGTGAGAATGATGATTTGGCCCAGTTGTTGAGTCTGCTTCTGGCTGGTGATTTATAAGCGAGAATTATGGCTGGGGAGGTTGAAGAATCATTTAGCATGAATTTTCAGGTTAATGTTTTCAACCACTTGCTGATTTTTGCATGGATCTATTGTTTTTAATTTTAGTGGCAATTTTACAATAGTCCTTACTTCTGTTTTGCTTAGTTTAGTCTATGATTTCCATTTTCATTACTCTATTCGAATCCATTGGCAGAAGAGAAGAGTAGAACTAGAAAGTACATATTTCTATGTTTAAGTAATTTCATTAAACATGGGTTGCTCAGTGTGCATTGTCCTTGTGGTCAATGATATCTAGTGATGGGTGATTATAATTTGCTGGAAAACTAATTTCTTTCAGTTATTGTTACCTTATTAGACATATAATGGTTTTGATCTGAATTACTGCTACTGGAATTAGTTGAACAAATATAGCAAGGTAAAGGAGATTGATTGGAGTTGGACAATGTTATGTTATTCCTATTTGATTCTCCCTTTGGTTTACTATACTGATTCACTCTCATGAGGTTTGTTTTGCATGGTTTTTGTTCTATACTAATCTTATGATTTGTATCTAATGGAAACACATTCGTATCTGTGACTCAGTTGTATCGGACAAAAATTGTTAACTTTCCCTATACTATTCCTACCGGAAAGAAACCTCAAAAAGGAAATTAATATTATGAGTGTTGACTAGATTGGATACTGTTAATATTATTGCTATAAAGATGAAACAGTGTTGATATTTGACTCTGACTGCTGCTGCTTCGATTCTTCCTTGCCAAAAATGCAGGCAGATTCTATACATTCTGGCTCTATCTCATTTGGAAGGTTTGAGAATGAACCTTTATCATGGGAAAGAAGGTCCTCTTTCTCTCACAATAGGTACTTGGAGGAGGTTGAGAAATGTTCAAAACCAGGTTCAGTTATTGAGAAGAAAGCATATTTTGAAGCTCATTTCAAGAAGAAGGGTTATTTTGGTATTATTCCATCTACATGTCATGACGGATCAGATAGAGAAACCAGTGAAAATGATAGCTCAGAGAGAATTGGCAAGCCAGAGGATTTTGAGTCAAATGATGGCCATTATGTTCAATTTGATGAAATGTCCCAAGAGGATTTTGAGCTAGATGAAGGTGGCCTATATGTTGTTGAAATGGAGCAAGGATCTCATGAAGATTTTGAGCCAAATGAAGACAGTCATTATGTTCAATTTGGGGAAATCCCTGTTGACTCAGATTATCATGGAAAGTGTGGTGTGAATAGATATGAAATAGAAGATACTGTCATAGAATGTCCAATGGTTCCATTTTCAAGTCTACAGATGGTATCTGCTATGAACAACTCTAACAATTTGGAGAATGCCAATAAGATAAGTATTACTTTCGATGAAGCTCATCAATCTGAAAATGAAACAAGTAACATACTCTCAGATAATGACAAGGTGATTACAGAAGTGAAAAAGGATGATGATGATGCTGCAAGTACTGATGAATCATCAATAAATATGAACATGAATGTGAATGAATCAGTGTGGGGTATTGAGGAAACAATTTTGCGTGATCCTACAACTCCTTCTCCCAAGGTATGCATGCCAACAATGCACGAAATTGCTTTCTCTGCTTATTAAATAATCCACCATAGTGTGGCATATAGCGAAGCACTATTAATGCAGTAATTAAGATTACTCATATTGATGACAATAGCATATGTATTGTGCATTAATTTTATATTTCCTTTGAAGCAGAGCCTGGTTTCCGTGTATTTTACATTTTTTATTTTATGCAATTGTATAAACTTGCTTCTTATACCCTGGGGTCACTTAAGTGTGCTTGATTAATGCATAGGAAACAAAGCGTGAGCCTCAACTGAATTCTGATGTCAACAATGTTCGAGTTCAGAAAAGCACTTCTAGGTCATCTGAGGATCCACCAAGGATTCCCAGTAGGGAGAGTCCAAGGAGAATGAATGTGGAAAAGAATTTGTCAAAGCATGCAATTCCAACTACTTATTCAGCTAGCAAAACCGCCAAAGTAAGAATTTGATAACAACGTACTTTTGGGAAGAACGGAATCATAGTTCGTTGATTTAGAGTCAGTTTGGATAAATTTCTTAATAAACACTTGTAGGAGAAGAACATATAATAAATTAAGAAAGTAAAATAAATTTAACATCTCTTGTAAGTTAAAATTAGTTTACGCATTTCAGCTAATGAAAAATTTAAATGATGGAACTTCTAAAAAAGTTAAGGTGTGCAAGTTCTTTTTACTTATTGGAGAAGTTTGATTCATTTTATTTGCTTAATTCATTTTATTATTTTTCTCACAAGTGTTTGTTGAAAAATTTATCCAAACTAGGCCTATAAGTAATTTCATTGAACATGGTTACTCTTTTATATGGTTTGCTTGAGAACTTTCCGCTATCTCAATTTTTTTGGGCCTCTGTATGCAGGTTTCTAAAAATGAGGAAAAACTAATTCGTGAAGGCAAAAGGTATTGTTGTTTCTTGGCTAGAATTGTTATATGCTTCACATTTTCAGATTCAAATGTGCTTTTAGTTTGGATAGTGAAAATGTATCAAGAGTGAAAAAAGCTTCAGAATCCCAACCTTCTGTTTTAAAATCAGCTTCCAAAGGCATTCAAGAAGCAGAGAGGTTTGTAGACATATGTAGGGATTAATGTTTCTTTTTCTTTCATTATGGTCTGAGGCTAATATTATAATGTTATATAGGCTGAACCAAACTTTCAATTCTACGAAGTCCAATGTTAAGCCTAGAGCTGCAGCTTTCAACTTTAAATGTAGTGAACGTGCAGAAAGGAGGAAAGAGGCAAGTAAATGCTATTGGTTTAGAATCATATGTTGTTTATGTTAAAAAGAAACATATTGATTTTTTATGATTGTTGATTCGTTTTCATGATTCTGTTGACTCAGTTCTACATGAAGTTAGAAGAAAAATTGCATGCAAAGGAAGCAGAGATGAATCAAATGCAAGCAATATCACAGGTAGAATAAGTCAGCCAATAATAGCATCTGGTTTTAATGAGCTGCCATATTAGATTATCAGGTTGCTGACACTTTATATGAATACATGATATACAATTTTATGGACCTTGGTACATGTAGCTGACTCCCACTTATTTTCATTTCTTATGGCTTGAAGAAACTCATTACATTCAACTTTTGTTTCTGTAGGAAAAGACACAAGCTGATATTAAAAAACTCCGGAAGAGCCTCAACTTTAAAGCAACACCAATGCCTTCATTTTATCGCACAACTTTGCCTTCACAACCACAGGGGAATAAGGTATGTTTTCTGCTTGTTTATGTTTGTGAATTAGTGCATGGCATACAATATGTGACTCAGAAGATGAACAGTGTTGTTGGTACATATCATACCTATCATCCTACTTATGGGATCTTCGTAGTGATTCGACATATACCGGCCTAGTTTTGTTTATGAATTTAGATTAGCAATGAGAAAACTGCTGCTTCTCTTCTTTTCTTCTTTCTCTATTTGACTGCTAGTACTTGATGTTTGTGGATTCTCCCTTGTCAACCTTAGTCCGAATCAAATAACACCAGAAGTAAGAAAGTACAGAATAAACCAAAATGTCCAGCGACTGGAACAGATGCAACATTGCCTTTGAAATTGAAGATGGGGAATGGTCAAGGTGCTGATGAAGCTGTAACAGAAAAAGAACAACGTAGCATCTGGATTGAAGAGAGCGCCGAAACTAATGCATCTGAAGCTAGTTTCGCTTCTCCTGCTCCGTCTAATTCTGTGACAAGTAATCGTGCTTCTGGAAAGAAAGAAGAAGCAAAGGTTTCTTCACAAAAACATAGGGTATCAGATAGTTGTAAAGGAGCTAGATATCAAAACAATGAAGGAAATAAAAGTGGTAAAACCGCTATACACAGAAATGATATGACAAGGAAAGGAGTGAAGAAGGTTGGTTTGAGAAGCAGTTCTAAAAGTGGAAATCTTGCTGTACGTGTTGCCTCTTGAAGAAGTTGCCTCTTTAATTTCCAATTTGAGGTAGTTAAAATCTCTTTCAAGTTCCAGCATAAAATGCAGCGGAATGATTACCACCATACATATATTAATTAAGGCATATTGCACATTGAGATAGTAGCATTTCTTGTATGTTATTCACAATATTCATTTGATGGTATAGCTGAAGCAAATTATGGTACAACTTGATCCAAGTTACAACGATGTTTGCTAGTATTTATGTATGCAGCAAATATAGCCAGCCAGTTACGTAGTAACGGGTAATGAGCATGCTTTTACTGGACTTATTGAATCTTCTGGGTCTTGTTAGGCCACTAAGGAATCAATCAGTCAATAAATGATTAAAATTAGTTGGGAGTGTATTGATGAAAATTATGATAAAAGGGAGTAATATTTTTTAATTTATGATCTTTTATCCTGTTAACATTGATCTATCTTTTTATCACACAATTTTCATTGATATTTTGGACACTAATAGTGCAACGAAATAAGTACACTAGTACTGAGGGCCAAATTGATTTACATACATCTAGGAATGTAAATGAATTGAGTTATTCTTGAATTATTTGAGTTTGACTAATTAAATGTTTAACTAAACTTATTTATTTATTTAAATAAATAAATTTAAATTTAAAGACAATAATATCTTGCGAATAGTTTATATGTACATTTACATAATTATAATTTTTAAATATATTTATTTTAATTTTTTATTATTATCATTATTATTTATCTCATTTTAATTTTTATGGATTATAGTTTAAATGAGTTACCATTATTTTTTTAAAAGAAATATATCATTTTTATAATAAAAAATTATTTTTAACCTTAAGTTATTTTCATTTCATAAATTACATATTTTTTACTATTTTAATTTATTTTTAACATAAAATTAATAATCAAACACTAAATAAAAAATATTTAAAATTGTCAAAAATAATTATAAATAAATTAATGAGTTAAGCCTAAACTTTTAATTAAGTGAAGTTCAAACTTTAAATTTAATCCGTTTAAACAAGTTTGAAGTTTTATTTTTTACGAGTAAAGCTTAAGATTCAAATACTTAATTTAACCCGACTCATTTATATCCTTACATTTATATACTTCTTTATATCCCTCCATATATTTATATTAGAATGAATTAAGTAATAGTTCCAAAGTTTTTTTTTTCTTTTAGTAATGTGAAAGATAAAATTTACTGATAGTATTAATGACAACTAATATTGTTACATTTTATTCTTTTGAAGGGGATCAAAGTGACTAACGATGGAAGATATAATTTTCTTTTTCATATCGTCATGAATCAAATTTATCAATGATGCTAACTTCGAAGTTGAATTAATTTTCCCTTAATTCATGATTAAATTAACTAGGGACACCAATAGCAGGAACCGAATTAGTTCTTCGATCATAAATGTTATTATTTTTGAACGAATACACTTGTATTAAATATTTGTGTAATGATAAATATAAAATTATTATAAGTTAGTTGACGAAGTCGTTCCACCTCACCCAAGAGAAACAAGCCCAGCAAAGGCCCACAAGGCACAGGCCAATCAAAAGCACAAAAGGACAAACAGGCCACATAGAAACTGACTCCACCCAAACTAAAAAGTAAACCGAGACACAAGCTGACACCACAAGTGAAAAACCAGCAACTGAGTACATTCAAAAGAGATGTCGAAAGTGAAAACCAACAAAAGGATGCATTTTCTTGTGGTACAATGATACAATAATACAACCAATAATTTTATTATTCCAAACAAAGGAAGACCCGAACGTTACCCATTACTCAGCAACCATGACGTTGGTTCATACTTACATTTTCACACCTACTGTTTTTTGTTTAGATGGAAAGTGAAATAAGGGAGGAAGAAGAGAGAAATATAAGTAAAATAAAAATTTAATATTGCTTTGGACAAATAAAAAATATATTTATTTAAATGCATTGAAAAATGAAAAAAGAAAGTAAAACATGTTTTTATTTTTAGAAATGAAAATAAACATGCTTTTACTCTTTTTAGAAATAAAAATGTTCAAGATTTATATTAAAAAACATTCAATCTAGGTCACGCACCTGAATGTGATGAGTGAGTCTATCACTAAAATTTTTTTGCATACATAAGAGTTTGAACTCGAGACCTTACCTACGCAATACCAAGCCGCTTACCATTCTTGGTGTTAAAATACTATTTTATTTGAGCATTAATGGACAAAAAAATTTTAAATTACAAGATTGCATAGTTATTAAAAAAAGTTTTTTTATTAATTAAATTTTAAAAATTTTGATTTTTTTTCATCTATTGAGATAAAATTTAGTTGTTATTATTATTGTATATATTTGACTGATAAAAAATATTTTTAAAATACTTTAGAATTTTAATTAAAGAATTTTTATCTCAAATATAAAGAACTATAAATAACACATAATAATAGAGAATTTAAAATCTCTTTTATTATGCTTAATTTTTTGTAATTATTATTCATAATTGATTCACATTTTAATATTTTTTTTATTGTTATTGTTAAATTTTAGGATTTCTAAAATTCTTCGTTAAAACATGATCTAAAGGTTTTTTTGGCAGGTACACTCCCTTGTTGCTTCAAGCTTATGTCCACTAATATCGAAGTGATTTGGATTCATCTTTCTAGGTCCATTGAAGTAATTATATATACACTATACAGATCTTCAAGATCGAGAAATAAAAAATACACATTTTAATTATTTTATAGTAAAGTAATTTTTACAAAAAGTATTGATAAAATATTCAATTTTTACTCATTCTTATTTTGTTAGCATATTAATATATTAATAATTATCGCACATTATCTAAGTCATATAATTGTGCACTTAAGCACGAAGAAGAGAGACAAAGATGTGACCTGATTTAGGATTTGGACTTGCAGGAGGTTTTCTCTGTAAACCAGATTGGGTTTGCTGCCCAATCTAATTTTTTTTGTGAAAAATATCATTTTTGGCATGACCGCTATCATCGCCATAGTTGCCATATGCGTAACGGCTACCATGACGCAATCATTGAAAACTGCCATATTTTGCCATGGTCTTGGTGGTTTGGTTGAAAAACACCACCGTTACCCACTATGGTACCGCCATAACCATTTTTTAACATCATTGCATGTGACTACTCATTCATTTTAACATTCTCGTTTATGTCACTTTTAATTTTTTCTCATGTTTTTTTAAGATATAACATTCATTACCATATAAGATAATTGGTCGTATAGTAGTATGTTTAAGTTTTTCTTTTAGTTTGATAGATATTTTATAATCATAAATAATTCGATTTTTTCTCTACTTTAATTAAATAGCTTATATTATATGAGTAACATTTTCATTAATTTCTTTGTCATTCTGTAAAATTAATTCCAAGTACTTGAAATCTTGCCTCATAGCCATGTCTGTTTAGTTCTTGGCTTAGAAATTTTTTTTCTTGTGGAATGTCTTGACCGACTCCTCGTAATCTTCCTAAAACTTTTCTTTTCAAAAGAACTTCCAAATTCATAGGGCATAAGCTCTAATGATATTAATGGTTTCCTATGCAACCCTTAACTTTAAAGATAATATCTTGTCCCAAAACTTTTTAATGTCCACCACATTCTTTTTTCAGATTTTGTCCATAATGATATCTATTCTACTCTTTCCTCTCATTTTCCATGTGTACCATAGTTTAAAACATGTAGTGTCTTGCTCTTTAGTGTGTTTTTTCAACTCATTTAGTTTTTTTGAAGACACATAATGTTAATCCTTCTTCAAATCATACTGTCCCCACTTCCAAAGACATACCTTTTAAAGTACCAAAATCTTAAGAGTGAAACCAAATTAAACACTTTTGGACTAGCTTCTTTACTTACATCTGTCTTGACAAATGTGAAGACCTCTGTTCATATAAGACTATATCTGGACATCGATGCATTTGACACTGTATTCGAGCCATACAACATGTTACTTTTGGGTGACGACCTAGCCTTGGCACGGTGCTGTTGCGAGTGATCTATGCATGAGTTTTGACTAGTTTTGCAGTGGTTACCAAGAAAATAACACAATGTGAATCGTAATCATTTCTGTATTTATTCTTTCATAGGGAGAATAGTTTGTGCATAATTTGTTTTGTTCTAGCCATTGATGTCTTGGCCAACCTCCATGTAGAACAAATGGGTATCCTTCATATATATGCATACTAACCTTTCTGGGATTAAATATCTTGTATCAAGGCATTGGAATGTCAAGTTCAGCTACAAATTGTGGGAAGGAAACTATTAAGGTGATTTCCTTGTGATATTGGGTTCTAGAATTTTGGAGAGGTGGTTGGTGTTTAAGTGTGTTTTGTAGGGACTGGCCTCAACACTTTTAGGTAGATGATATAGGGGTTAAGTTCGTTAGATTGTAATTTGCTTATTGCTGTTCTTTTTTTTTTCTTCCATCCCAACTAAAAAATATGCTTTAGCACATCAACTACAGTTAAAACAGAATATTGCATCAACATATTCTTGTCAGAAAGGATGGTGTGCAGTGTAAATTTTCAATGAAAATGGGGCTGATTGTCATTTTGAAAAACCTTGAGAGGAGTGAGTCTTATTTACTCTTTTCTTTTAATAAACAGGAAGTCTTCTACGTGGCTATTGGCTAATCATGATATCTATGAGTATGAGATTTTAATACTAATCTCATAGCTGATGTTGCATTCTTCTTCACATTGTCTATGTAATAGGATTAAACTATACTCTCACCCTTTTCATTGTGTGAAATCAAGAATTGACTACAACATATGCTAATTTATTGTTTTTGGTTTTTCAATTTTAGGCAAGTTTTTACATAAAATTTGTCAAGTCAACTCACCATAAACAGGGTGACTGAGGCTTTAAAACCATTGGAAGTTCATATAATGGCAGGAATAGCTATACTTCTGGATCTATGGAGGAAAAACCAAAAGCTTAGCTCTGGATTGCACTCATCTCCTCACGCCTTTCAGTCTTCTTCTGCCTTTTTCTCTGCCTCTGCTGCTACTGCTGCTACAGCATCTTTTGTTGCAGGGACTAGTTTTGCCTCAAGAGCTGTGTTTGGGTATGCTCTGCCTCCATTTTTCTATGGATACATTGTTAGTGTTTCAGGGATGTGTTTGCTTTGATATGTTGATGGTTGTTGATCTAGGGTCGGATACACAATTTGACAAAATATGATTGATTTGGTTTTGATGATTTGGGTATGGTTGTGGATTACTATACATTCTACTTTAAAAAT